AGAGATCTGAATCTTCTTTAAGCGCAAACTTGGCGAGCCAATCCTCATGTCGGGACGAAGTTGACATCATGCACTTACTTCCATAACCACTTTCATCTACACCCGAAAACTGCGCATCCAATGATTGACAGAAGCTTCAGCAAGTTTCAGACAAAAACAAAAAAGGTTTCCATGGAACATGGAACAGAGAGGATCATCATGTGGTCAAGCAATTCTCTCAAGTCCCATACTTGGAGCCGAAACTCCCTCCACCGCTCTGCTGTGCATGCTCACAAATAACTGCGAGCACAAACATCCCAAGTCCTTGCTATCTCCCCAAGGGTCATAGGTTGTGATAAACTTCGTAAGGATATGCTAAACCTTGACTTTGCTTTCGTGGAAAGATCTTCATTTCCTTACTGACAGAAATATCCAATACCACTTCTATTTATTAGAAACAGAAGAATTTTAGCAATTCTAAGATAAACTACGGAGATGGGGAATGTGAGACATGCATTGTGTTGATCATTTTTGTTAGGAAGGAGAGTCAACAAACATTTCACAGGACAGCTAAGATTAAATTGGCCAGTCTCATTAGCACATCACAGTTAGCTGTGTCTTGAGGCAAAACTTCTCTTGCCATCTTTCCATGTTAGATTTAAAATCACATCTGCTCACAGCAGTAGAGGATGACTATGATCCATCGACACTGACACGGGACACGACACGCCGACACGTTAATTCTGAAAAATGTTATATTTTGACACGTTGGGACACGTTTTGATGTTACATAATACTTTTAATATAATATAATTTATATTTAATACATATAACAGCCCATAATAAGTCATATAACCATTCAAATATTTAAATTTTATAACATAAATATAACAAAAAATAATTTTTCGTACCTTGTTAATTTTTCATGTCAAATTTCATAACAGAGAAAAATTGATTTATAAATTATTTTTTCATTTTTAGTTAATAAAATAAAATTTAGTTTTAAAAAAAAAAAAGTGTCGGAGCGTTGACCGAGTGTCGGAAACAGTTGACTGCGTGTCGGAAAAACGTGTCGGAACGCGTCAAACCGTTGACCGCGTGTCCCAAAATATTGACCGCGTATCGGAACGTGTCGATGTTCGACACGTGTTCGACACACATTTTTTGAAAAAATGAGTGTGTTTGTGCATCTGAGGAGGATGAATTTGAGGCATACCTAAAAGATAAGTTTTCCTAAAATCACACATATTTCTAAAATGGCCATGGTCTTTGCATTTTATTTTTTATTTTTGGTAAGAAATTTCAGTAGGGGCAGCACCGAGGAAAAGATGGTAGAATCTCCCTTAAGGTGGGTTTGGCCATTTGAGAAGAAGACTAACAGAAGCCCCAATAAAAATAGATGATCAGGTGGAGGATGTCCCCACAGCAAGAGGTAGAGGAAGACCAAGAAAAACTCTGGGTGAAACTATTAAAATGGACTAGACCTAAATGACCTTTGTTTGAAAGACTTGACATATGACATAACACAATGATGTCGATTGACCCATGTAGCTGACCTCACCTAGTGGAAAAAGACTATTTTTTGTTATTATTGTAATTTGGGAGATGCATAGGATATTTTTCTCTTTACATGTGTTTTCTATACCTCGTGATTCAGAATTTTGATCAATACAAGAAGAATAAAAAATAAGAGACACCTCTCAGCATTAACTACTTTACTCAGTCTGATGCAATGAAGCAGACAAATGTTTCATGCATGAAAATAGTTAAAAGAGTCATAACTCATAATCACAAAAAGTTTTGGAAGATGAGAACATTATATTTCTCCTTTTTGTTGATAAAAGCATTAAAGCAAGCAAAGAAGATAATTGTCATGATAATTCATGGTTTGTTGAGAATATAGAATTTTTATTTTAAAAGAAAAATAACACAAATGAGAGACGCCAAAATGTTTATTCTCTCACCTGGATTCAACTGGAAACTTGTCTAGAAGTATGGGGGAACAATTAGGATAATTTGTAGGCACAAGTAAGCGCGGGGTTGAATTGGTGACTGCATGTTAGTAAAACACAAATATGGACAAAGTTTTATTACAAAAAATAAATAAATAAATAAATACTTAAGATGTATATGGTTTTAAAGTTCTGAGAGCTCACCATCTGTGCTGAAGCATATTGGGATTTTAAGCTTGGGCTGAGAGCCACAACACTGAAAGAACATTTGACAATGGTACCTTCTACTCCTTCAGCAGCTGCAGTTGGATCAACTTCTTCATCGCTTATGTCTACTATAGTGCCAATAAGTTGCTGATTAACCTCCTTAATTTTTTCCGAAAGGGCATGATTAGCCTGCCATATAAGACACAAAAATTCATTATCAGCAATCAAAGACTGTCTAGAGAAAATCCATAAACTTTAAAGTGATTCCCTCGCAATCCTTGCTTTAGAATTACTTTTAAACTTATTATCTGATAAATCATCATGCTCTAATGAAACGGATGTCCATGGCTAATCCAGATCATGCAAAACCCTGGTCATTATATAGTGAATCCAATTGAATACCGAGGTCAACAATTCAAGACCTAATACGAGAGCTACTCACACCAGCAATAGGTTCCATGTTCTAAGCTCATGTCACCCTTGATTATTGTTTTTAAATGGGGAGGATGATGATCGTTTGTAAAAATGAGAGAAATTATCAATCAAACTAATTAAAAATTAACAAGAAAAACAATTGCTATTGTTGCATGCTACTACAACTAATACTACTATTGCTATAGTTGTTTCTCTTGATTGATTGTGATTCTTATTATTTTATTCTACCATTTAGTAACAATTGAACCACGAAGTGGGTATTTGAACTGGGTCGGCCCTTTTTTTAGTAACACTTGAACCTTTAAACGGCAGGTTTACTTATTAAATTGATCCAATAAATATCAAAAGAGAAAATCTATTTCAGTAATTCTTATCTCAAATTTTTACTTCATAAGTTAACAGCCATACAGCAATGTCCGGAATACATCATAATCAATGGTACAAATTATTTTTTATTTTTTGGTATACGTACAAAATATTGGTAGTTGCAAATAACTTATCCCAGCCTGTATCTTGTGTGATGCACTAAGTGTGTTTGAATTTTAGGCATCAAAAGCTCTAATTCAATTGGTTGATTCCGGTATCTGGAAATCGCCAGTGAATTTTGATATATAGTCCCTATATGATGTGTTTCATTATCTAAATGAGAACATGAAATTGTGCTTTTCTACACATTTGTAAATTGAACTAGCTGCATTTTTTTGAATCTAAATCCTTGTAGTCAGAAATATCAAAATGCACAAACTTTTAGCTGTGAAAAACATTCTAATTGAAAGAAAGGGTGAAAAGTAATGTACATAATGTGTTGGTGCATAAATATTCCATGTGTTGATGGCTTGATGCCCATTAATAATTGCAATGGCAAGCCCAAAAATTAAGACACTGATAGTAAAAGATGTCAATTATAAAATAAAATTTAACAATTAAAAAAAATTTAGTACCTCAATCCTTGGTTTCTTGATACTAGATGTTGCAGTTGACTCCAAATCAGAAGCCTCCAAAGCAGTTAACTGCTTGATACTACAATTCATCCCACCTGCAGATGCTGCAACATTCAAGGGCGTGGCATTGGTATAGCGCTTCATCCTCTTGGTTCCAATGGCACCATCTTGGGTGATGAAATTTCTAACCTGAAGACGACAATTAGTCATGGCAACCAAATCTTCACCAACAGCACCTCTGGATCCATTACCTGGAGTTGATCCTGCTATCCTATCGTTCATGCTGACAACTGAACCAATATCACAGACAGCAGCACTTAATGCTATATGTGACATTGATTTCACCTGGAATCATGATTAGACATATATTTGTCATCTATAACTCCAAAATTAAAACAGTAGAATAACAAACTGATACAAACCTTCAACCGATATAAATCAATAACAGAGAACCAAGTGTTTCTGGCCTGAATAATCAGATTTTTCAGGTATTGATGGAATTCAAATGACAATTACAGGGACTATGACAATTAACAGAGACAATTTAACAAGAAAAGGATGATTACATGAGCTAGAAAATGCTTAACAGTAAAGGAAAAGCAATAGAAGATAGTGAGACAATTATAGAGATCTCACTCTCTCCCAATCCCAAAAGAGCCCAATCACTACTCTGATTCCCCCTCATCCCCTTGAGAATGCTGAACCCCTCATCTAAATAGAACCAACTCACTCAACGTGACCCCATGCCATCCAATGTGACTTACTCCTAACAACCTTTGCTGACTCAGCATTATGCAATATTCCTCTGCTTCTCTTTCTTCTATGCACACTTCTAAACCGTTTGCTGACTAGGATAGGATCGTATCACAAACCTTCATGTAAATTTTTTGTCATATTCGTAAAAAATTTAAAGGTCACAGCCGCTGATCAAGCCAGCTTAAGATCTGCCAGACAAACCGGTGCTCTAGAGGCTGCTCATTAACAGTTGACTTTCCAGAAGTAGGTGCTAAAAGCATTACCATGAACACCATCTGGAGCAGTGAACTCTGCCAGTAAAGGAGAGGCTGATATGACGAGGTCTGCATGGTGGGTTATGGAGAAGGTGATTAGCGTAAAAATGGATGGTGTTGTGGATGTTTTGGTAAACTGGCACATTTCTTCTGAGGTATCAGTTAAGCTTCTTGATTTGTTGCTTTGGATATACTCCAAAAAATCCATGCTTGAGAAGTGCTTGTTGGTTTTTTATAAAATGATTCATAATGGGTTGTTGCCTGAAGAATTGCAAAAGGGTTCTTTGGATGCTTAGGGATAGGGAAATGGTGAACAGAGATAGAGAAGTTTATAATGTGATGGTGGAGTGTGGGATAAAGCCTACAACTGTTACTTATAATACCATGTTGGACTTGTTTTGCAAGGAAAGGGAGGTTCAACAAGCTTTGGAGCTTATGTTTCATATGCAACAGAGAGGGTGTTCTCCTAATGATGTAACCTATAATGTTTTGGTGAATGGTTTATTTAACAAAGGGGAGTTCAAGCAGGCCAAGGAACTAATTGAGGAGATGTTGAAATTGGGACTGAAGGTTTCGGCTTATACATCTCCACCCCGTAGGTCGCTACAACTGTTTGAATAAAAACAAAGTGGAATTGTCAAATCAAAGTAGCTTCTTAATGATCATATCTGTTCATTTTCCTAACTTTTGCTTGTTTGATGATAAATTAAAATTTTCAAATTACAATAGATGATTATGTTAAATTAATCACTCACAAATATAAAGTAGCCATTTATAAACATCATAATTGAGCAAGCAACTTAAATGAACGTACTCTCCTTTTTTTTATTCAACTGAACTCGTAACTTGAGTGCTGTGTTAAAATTTTATGCAGTGTATGCTCATTCTGAACCCTTATAATAATAAGGCACAACAAATTTTGAATACAGTTTCATTGCATAGTATTTTGCCTGAATGTATTATTTATTTTATTTTTTTCCATTCTCAACGATATTGAATTACAGAAAATGAGATACAGAGAATATAACTGAAGCATGTAGCTGGTAAAAATGAATTTATTGATGAAAAAAGGTAAGTGAAAAGCAAGATGCAATAAAATGCTGACAAAGTTGTGGTTCGTTCAATGACTACCTAGTATAGAAGAAGTCTTAACTTTTATTTTCATTTATTGTACAAGTTGTGAAGGAAAACAAAGAATAAGCACAATCCCATCAAAAAAATTCTCTTCCCCACAAAAGACTAAGAAAAATGAATAAAAAAATAGTGTATGATTATGTCAAAAATTGATTTGAATTATCTTGGAAGAGGATTGAGCTTCATCTGCATACCTCTTGCCTTTGTCGCATAATGTTACAGATCATTGAATCTTAAATGATAAAATCCACACTCTCACAAGTATTACCTAGCCATTGGATGTAACATGAGAAAAAATGTAAATAGTTGAAGTTTGCCCATCTTAATCACGATAAACATCCATTGGCATCTTCACCCTGTAAAAATTTAGGAAAAGTGTCAAGGCCAAAGAAATATTATAGTTACATAAGGTATCATGTATCTGAGGAAAAATGGGAATTCTTACCATGACAAGTACGAGATTATGTCTGGGGAAATTTACACCTCAATGAGAAAAATCCCATCCAGATGTAGGGATGTCTTTCACTCATTAGTCATGTGGGAATGCCAAAAACAAATAATCATTCCTTCATCTTTACATCAGAAGTTTATTAACCACCTCCAATTACATTCTCAAGATGCTGAACGGCATGCAATTTATAGTCTTTGTTTAGATGCTTCAATAGTGCACTATGTGTACAAGAATCAGGCTGTATTTCTCTATCTAGCATATCCTTATACAACCTTAAAGCTTCCTGCCAATGGCCTATGTTGCAGTTCTCGTTTATTAAAATAGTGTAGGTATACTTATTTGCAGAAATACCCTTTGCTTGCATTTCCATAAAAAATTTGTATGCCTGATTGATCTTTCTCATTTTGCAAAGTCCATTGATTAAAGCATTGTAGGTGATCACATTTGGATGAACACCCTTCTCTTGCATCTCAAAGAAGTACATAATTGCAGGTTCCAGCCTTCCCCTAACTGCGTATGAATGAATCAAAACTGTGTAAGTGACAACCGAAGGAAATATTCCTTTGCTCAACATCTCATAGAACACCACTCTAGCCTTCTTAAGATGCCCAGCCATCAAGTGAGCATGGATGATGCTAGTATATGTTACGTGATCTGGAACAAGTCCATCATCGAGCATTTTGTGCACGAGTTCACTTGCTTCTTGCAAATTGCCCAATTTATAGAGCCCATTGATGAAAACATTATATGTGATCAAATCAGGAGGAAAGCCTTTGGCTAGCATTTCTTCTTGCATGCCAAAAGCCGTAGATGAGTCACCAAGCTTCAGTTCACCTACTATTCGAGTTATGTATGCAAAACGATCTAGCTGCAACCCACTATGCAGCATCTCATCAAATAGTTCCTTAGCTATTGGCAAGTTTCCCATCATGCAAAATCCTCTAACAAGAATTGTAAAAGTAAATACATCAGGCTTAGGCCCATGTTTGATCATATCATCTTTAAGCTGCCTGGCAACATCCAAGTCCCCCAATCTGCAAAAACCATCTATAAGTGTATTATAGGTCACGACAGTCGGAACAAGACTTCTGTATTTCAACTCAACAAATAAGAGAAAAGCCTCCCCTAAGTTGCCCAACCTGCTGTAACCGTAAATTAGAGTGTTATATGAAACTACGTCCGGCATCAGATTCTTATTTACCATAGCAGCTAATAGCTGCCTTGCATCACTCACTCTTCCCCACTTACAAAGACCATACATAATTGTATTGTAGGTCACTACCGTAGGCAAAGCTCCTCTACTCAACATCTCCGCCCCAAGATTCAACGCTTCTTCAAACGACCCTTTCTTACAGTACCCACGAATCAAGGGGTTATATGTATAAGCAGAAACCTTCAGTCCCAATTTCAACATCTCCTCAATCAGTTCTTTGGCCTGCTGTAACTCCCCTTTGTTAGACAAACCATTCACCAAAACATTATAGGTTACATCATTAGGAGAACACCCTCTCTGTTGCATCTGAAACATAAGCTCCAAAGCTTGCTGAACCTCCCCTTCCTTGCAAAACGAATCCAACATGGTATTATAAGTAACAGTTGTAGGCCTTATCCCACACTCCACCATCACATTATAAACTTCTCTAGCTCTGTTCACCATTTCCCTATCCCTAAGCATCCTAAGAACCCTATTGCAATTCTTCACATCAGGCAACAACCCATTATGAATCATCTTATAAAAAACCAACAAGCACTTCTCAAGCATGGATTTTTTGGAGTAAATCCAAAGCAACAAATCAAGAAGCTTAACCGATACCTCATAAGAAACGTGCCCATTTACCAAAACATCCACAACACCATCCATTTTCGCGCTAATCACCTTCTCCATAACCCACCACACAGACCTCGTCATATTGTTAATCGCGAGAATCTCAAGAATAACAACAAAAGCTAACTCAGATCCCTTGAAACCAGGTTGCCCCTCGGCCCATCGAAAGAACCGCAGGGCGATGACGGGTCGGTCTCGAACTGAGTTAAGGACCCGAATAAGCAAGTCAGGTTCAGCAACCGCAGCACGAAACTGATCAGATACTACCGAAGGTTTGTTGTCTTCAACAGTTATGGCTGGTGCGTTAAAAGCTCTTAAGGACCGGAGTACCCATTTTAAATTATCACATGTCATGGTACCCACATTCCAAGTTCGAATTTTTACAATTCCATTGCGATTAAACATCACCTTTTCTTCGTTAGAATCGCTGAATTCCAACGGAAGCTGTCCCAGTAAGAAAAAAATCGATACATAAACAATCACAACCATGAAACGGAAAACTAGGGAAATAGAAGCGAAAGCGAAGGGCACTTACATAGTTCAGTGCCGTTGAGAAAGCCCTCCAAGGCTGAGAAGGGGGAAACCAAAAAAATATTAATAAAAAAAGTCATAAATGGAAGAGATGGTCCATTGGAAATCGAAAGAAAAACCTGACGCAAAATCTGACGAATCTCGTTGATGCGATTCGCGGCTGGTGCGACGAAAGCTCTTGAGGCTCTGAAAGAGAGGGTCATTGAGATCTCAACGGTGGCGGCGGCGGCGGCTACGGTGGCAATGCCATCAACAGCCTTCGTATGCCGCCTCGGTAGTTTGGAAGTTGGAACCCACGCTCACGTTTTACGTAAACCCAAACCTCCTAACTCCTTGTTTTTTTCTTTTTTTTTTCTCGATGTTGTGGGCTTTTTTTCTTATTTATTTTAAGAAAAAAATTGTCTATCACTTTTAAATGATATAAAGTTAAGAAAAAATATTTCTGAAGTTACTTGCATTTATTTTCAAAATAACGTTGTTTTGGTATTAAAATCTCAAAAAATTATAAATATAAAAACTATTATAACCCTCAAATAAATTAAAATTACAAAAATATCATGATTTTCGACGTCGTATTTGGTTTACTGCAGATAACTTATCTACAGTAACTACAGAAAAAGTAAACTCATAAAATTATATCATTTTAAGAGAAAAGATAGATAAAATAATAATTTTTTTATTTAAGTTTTAAAGTAAAAAAAAAAAAAAAACACCAACTTTCTTCTTCGTAATTCTCCTTCCTTGTATCTATTTCTTTCCTTAAATTATATGTCCTTTACATCACACCCTTATTTTAATTCATCCATGATCTCCACTCGGTAGCCACAAACTAACAACTCTTCTCATTTAAGGGTTTCGGATTTTCTTAAGAATTTTCGAAAATAAAATTAACACCAGGATCGAAGAATAAAGCCATATATAAAACACAATATATTAATAATAATTAGAGAGGAATTTGTAGCCTGTAGGATGATTTTATCAAATGAGAGAAGAATTTTAGTTTGTCCCCTAAAATTTTATTCTTTATGACTTGTAGAAGTATTATAATTCATTGGGCTTAACCTTAATATATATATAGGTTAAGGAAGAAATCTAACATAATTCTAATTAATAGTGTGTTTATTGAGTCCAGAGTTCAATCAAATACTAATATGCTGCCCAATTAAGTCTAGTATCAATAGATATTAATCATCATGAACACAATGGACTCATAAGATTAATTAAATTGAAATGTTCATTAATATTCAGTTAATTTTAGAATATGAAATTAGTTAATTAATATTGCTAAAAAAATTAGCACTGAAATGTTATGATTCCATACATAACAAAGATAAATAAAAAAGAATAATATCATCCCATGTATTTCATTTCATTTTATTTAATATTTTTATTTATTTTTTCTCTTAAATTTTAAGTGGGTGGTATGGAGTGTTGTCGATTGCACCATCTATGTTTTTTTTTTTTAAAGAAAAAAAAAACTACAAGTGATCCAAGTCTGTCATTAATTAGCTTTTACTCGTGTTATGAACCTGACAAAGGCCTATATTCTAGAAGGTCCAATAAATGACAGCACAAACACGAAGGGAATCTTCTATTAATGGCGATCATATCCAGACAACTAAGCAGCTCACATTCGAGAAGGCCCAAATAGGGCTAACAGCTAAGAGGGAATTAAGGAAACATTCCTTAATTATACTAATCCTACTACGGTAGCAATGGATCGATAATTGAACCCCCAATACTCCTCAGAGACCCAAAAATCCGCTCCTGCCAGGTAACCCATTTATAAATAAAGGGTTAAACCAATAAGGTACACACACTCTAAACCATTTCTCTTAACTTGTCACTGTGCACACACTCCACGCATTGACTATGTCGTTATATTATAATGCACAGAGATCCGCTTATCTTTAGCGTACCTCTCTTATAGGTACCTGAGAAAGGGCAAACAGATCCAATATTTAGTGATGTGAAGTCTATCAGTGATGTGAAGCTTTGTGGTGAGGTAAATATCGAATTTCTGTTTTTTCGCTTTTCTTGAATTATATCAAGTCTGTATGAATGATGTTTCCTGTTTACCTGTGATTGCTATATTTAAGGTTACGACTTGCATCACATATGGGACTATAAAATCAATTGAGAGCAAATACAACTGGTGGTACAAGTCTTGCAAAAAATGTCCATTTTCTGTTTGTGAGGATTTTGAGAAGTGGTACTGTAAGAACTGCCAAAAGCATTGGGAAGATTATTATCCGAGGTAATATATTGTTCTTTGTTTTTAATCTGTATGCTTAATATTTTTTTCTGATATACAATTTTGCAAAACGATAGATTTATTGTTCAGGTAAGAGTTGTGGATAACACGGATTCCGCATCATTTCTTCTGTTTGATCGCGACTGTATGTCTTTGTTGGGGATGAGTGCTGGTGAATTGCGCGAGCTGCATTTCAAGAGGGTTTGTATTATCATTGCTATGAAATAGTGAAAATGTATATTTTGACGTAGAGTGCACTCTGTTTGCGCTGTAGTTGTTATTTTTTTCCCCTGTTTATTTGATCATCCTTTTTTCTGTAGGGTGCAGATTTGGATCAATTTCCAGAAGAGTTAAATGTTCTGAATGAGAAGTCGATGTTGTTCAAGCTAAATATCAAGCAAAAGGATTTGAACTCATACAGTGAGCCCAAATATCAAGTTTCTAAAATTTGTATCAACGAAGACATAATCTCAGCGTTCATTAAGTCTCTTATCGATCCAAATGTATGCTGCTTCTCTATTTCTGTTGGGTATCCATTTTTCTTATTCATTTTGTTGACTGTTGTTGGTTATTGTATATCACAGGATGAAGCAAATTTTGAGGATGCACGTGTAAAAACACACCGTTAATTAAGGAATTTAATTAATTAATTATGAGATTAATGAGATAATTCTATAATTGACCCTAGTAATTATGATAAGACTTAAATAATTATGGTAAGTGATTAATAATGTTGAAAGTCGTTTTTCTGACGAAAAGTACAGATACTGATTCTGCCTCACGGTATAAATGTGCACCGATGAAGTATCTCGGAAAATTATAATAAGTGTGGGAACATTCCTAGAATAATATATAGGACTAGTATGTCAAGTTTCAAGTCAAAATAATGAGAACTGGTATCAGAACTGATACCGGCTTTGTAAAAGCGCGTACCGGCAAAGTACTGCGAAAAATAATATAAAAATATAACAAATCCTTGAAAAATGGCTAGGTTCAGAATCCTAAGTTTGGGATTAAAATGTTAAGCGTAACTAATACAGTGTGGTTAGAGTTAATGAGACTATAAATACCAATTTGGCCCAAAACCCTAAGCCATATTTTCATCATATGTGCCTCCCCTTTTTCTGAGTTGCTTCAGCCATTTTTCTCTTCGTAGAAGCTTGGAGCTTGCACCAAATCCAACCAAGAAACCATCTTTCTACCTTGTTTCTTCACCTAAACACTATCACTAAGTGTGAGCTATCCTTGTATGGGTGAGAGGTTGTTGTGTGCTGAGTGTAGGGGTTGTGAGTGGTGGTTTTGTAGGCTGAGTTGGTGGCTGTCATTGGTGGAGCCATTCTCTTGTCATTGGAGGCTTCAAGGAGCCACATTTTGGTGTAAAAGACCCATCTTGTATTGCATTTTCGTGGTTCCTTAAAGTCAGCACCTTAGTGCTGTGTTGGAGGCTCCAAGTCAGTGTCATTTTTGGAGTTTTGAGCTTTGGAGGTATACCATGATCATCATCTTTGGTATTTTCATGATTTTAGCTTGTTTAATCCATTAAAAAGTGAAACTTGAACCATTTGAGCTAAAGGCTGGAAATCTAAGTCTAAAACATGTTAATGAACATCTGTTGATGGAGTTATTGGACTCTAGATCACGTTTGGACCCTTAAATATGGACTTATGCAGAGAATGCATGAATTTCTGCATTTTGTCTGATAAGTATTCGAATACTTTTCGTGTCGTATTCGAATACTTATCCTTCAGTAGTCGGATACTCCTTGGAGGAGTATTGGAATACTTTTCTGGGAAGAAAAGTATTCGGATACCGTTGAATAAGTATTCGAATACTGGGTAGTATTCAAATACTGTGGTATTTGTATTCAGATACCTGGTGGTATTCGGATACTGGGGGAAAAGTATTCAGATACCTTGTGGTATTCAAATACTTAAGTGAAAGTATTCAGATACTTTCTGGAGACATGGAGTATTTGAATACTCATCGAGGAGTATTCGAATACCTCCTGCAGAATTTGCATGAAATGGCTTAAAATGAGTTGGAAAGCCTTAATCGCTTAATGTAACCTTGGGCAATGATTATTGATGATTAATTATTGTATAAACAGATTGTGATTGTGCTGTTTGTGGGCATTGAGCTAGTGTGAGCTTGGCTTGGATAGTTAGCTTGCGAGGTAAGCTTTCGTGTCCTCGGTTTAGCCATTGTTGGTTCCACCATACCCCATGGGGGATGGTTTATATGCATGATGTGTTTTCATGTATTGATTTTGAAATGCTGTTGAGCTGTTATGTGCAAGTGCTTATAATATGCTTGTATTGTTCCACCTAGAAGGTAAGCCTATGTATGTAGTAGACATGCCATAGGGTGATTCTGTGGGTGGGTGTAAGTAGTACTTGCACTGAATGTAGGCAATAGACGTATTTAAGTCCTGCATTTCACTGGCTAGTAGAATAGATGACACACATGACATGATTATTCTGCTGCATTGCACTGATTTTGGAACTTATATTATATTACTGCTTTTGAACTTATATTGCACATGTAAGTGAGCTTGGGGTGGAGAAATCCT